TCTCTACAAAAAAAATTTTTTTTTAAAAAGGAGAATGGACAAAGCTATATGAGACAGAGTATAAACAGTCTTTTCAAAGAGTTTCTATATGAAGGGAAATAGGAATGAGGAGCTAGAGGAAGACATGAGATCAAGGGAAAAGTCTTTTACTAACATGGGAGACATAAAAGCATGTATGTCTGATGTTGGGAATGTTTCAATAGTAGGAAGACAAATCTGACAGAACAAGAGTGATGTGTGTAAACAAGATGGACAGGCTCTACTTCATAAGTAACAGAAGACAGAGTATATAGGTATAAATGCAGGTACCACACCTCAAATATAGTTGAGAATATGTAAAAGTTCTATTTTGATTGCTATTATTTTCTCATTGAAAATAAAAAGCAAAGTCACCCCCTGAGTGGGAGGAAGTAATGGACATTTCTGGAGAGCCAAGCAAGCATGAAATAGTATAGGAAAGTGAATGAATTAGGGCAGTGGCTCTCAAAGTATGGTCCCCCAACCAGCAGCATCACCATTACTTGGGAACTAGTTAAAAATGCAAATTTCAGGCCCCAGCCACTGAGTCAACTGAATCAGAAACTGGCAGTGGGGCCCAGCAATCTGTTTTAACATGCCCTTCAGTTGATTCTGATGTACCTTGAAATTGAGAATAGTCTAAGGACATGTAATAGAATTACAAGGCTACATTAAGAACCTACTTAATGGCTCACCCCTGTAATCCCAGAACTTTGGGAGGCAAAAGCGGGAGGATCACTTGAGCCCAGGATTTCAAGGCTGCAGTGAGCTATGAACCACTGCACTCTAACCTAGGCAACAGAACGAGACCCTGTCTCAAAAAAAAACCACAACAACAAACAAAAATATCCTACTTAAGATTAGCGAAATCATGATTAGCCACTTTTCTTCTCCACTCTAATTTTTTTTCTTTTTGTAGCTCTTGGCCTGAATTTCAAGTTCAGCTTCACTTCTTGTGCCTGAATTCCCTCGTCCATAAAAATGGGATTAGGCCAGGCACAATGGCTCACGCCTGTAATCCCAGCACTTTGGGAGACCGAGGTGAAAAGATCACCTGAGGTTGGGAGTTCAAGACTAACCTGACCAACATGGAGAAACGCCATCTCTACTAAAAACATAAAACTAACCAGGCATAGTGGCCCATGCCTGTAATCCCAGCTACTTGGGAGGCTGAGACAGGAAAATCGGTTGAACCTGGGAGGCGGAGGTTACAGTGAGCCGAGATCATGCCATTGCACTCCAGCCTGGGAAACAAGGGCGAAACTCCATATCAAAAAAACAAGGGTGGGGGGAATAATAGCAGCACTTAATTCATAGGATTGTAATGATTTAATGTACTTAATTTCAAATAAAATACCTTCAACAATGCTTGGTGTATAGTAAGCTTAAATATTTTAGATACTATAGTTGTCACCTCATAAATTACACATCTAAATTAATAATTGCTCATATTACCTTCCATTTCCTGATTTTTAAACCAGTTAAATAGCTCATTAGAGGTTATAATCCATAGCTTCTATTAAGCAAGCTCTCACCATGGCCAGGCAGCATATTATAGATTTTACTTTTATTATCTCACTTAATGCCACCAGTAACCCTATATTATTCCATTTGTAGAGTTATATTTCATAACATTTTTATCCAGTCCAAATTAACAGAATTAGCAAATGGCAGAGTCAGAATTTAAATCCAGTTTTTATGTGGTACATAACTGAAGCTCTTTGCCTTGGACTACATTGCCTATTCATTGTCAGAAAATGATACCCCCAAATTCAGTGCTTTGACATGCTGAACTAGAGAAGCAGCCTCAAGGTTTCTCTGATCTCCCCACGCGACCTCCTGCCTCTCAATCCTCTGCCTCCCCTAAAACACGGGATAAGACTGTTCTTTGAAGTTTTTTATCTACCTAGAAACCAGACCCATCAAAGAACATAATTGCTTTCTATCTCCTTACTCCCTGAAATTTCATTAATCAGAAGAAATTAAAACATTTCACAAAGCCAGCCAGATACTGTGGTGCACACATGTAGTCCCAGCTACTTGGGAGTGTCAGAAAGGAGGATCCTTGGGGCTAGGAGTTTGAGGCTGTAGTGTGCTATGATCATGTCTGTGAACAGCCGCCACATTCCAGCCTGGGTACAGTTTGACTTGGTCTCAAAAAAACAAAAGAAAACAAAACTCACATCATGGGGGAAAAGACTGAAAATTAACCACCACCAGATGATGGTTGAAGCTTAAATACTGTCACAAGGGACAGAGAGGTGGAGGGTGTAGGCAATTTTTTTTTTTTTTTTTTTTGAAACAAGAGTTTCACTCATCTCCAAGGCTAGAGTGCAATGGGGCGATGTCCGCCTCCCAGGTTCAAGCAATTCTCCTGCCTCAGCCTCCCAAGTAGCTGCAGGTACCTGCCACCATACCTGGCTAATGTTTGCGTTTTTAGTAGAGGTTTTTGCCAGGTTGGCCAGGCTGAGACCAAACTTTGCATCAAACTACTGCTTTTTATTTTTGAGACAGGGTCTCTCCCTATCCCAGGTTGGAGTGCAGTGGTGAGATCTTGGCTCACTGCAAACTTGCTTCCTGGGCTCAAGAGATCCTTCCATCTAAGCTTCTCAAATAGCTGGGATTACAGATGTGAGTCACCATGACTGGCCTTCAAATCATTGTTGGTTCTCTAGTTTCACTCAGTCTACAAAGAGAATAATTTACAAGTGAATTTCTGTCTCCCAGGTGCATTCATCTCTCCTAAAATCATTTACTACTCCTCTAAAATTGCCTACAGGCCGGACACAGTGGCTCACGCCTGTAATCCCAACACTTTAGGAGGCCGAGGCAGGTGGATCACCTGAGGTCAGGAGTTTGAGACCAGCCTGGCCAAGATGGCAAAAACCTGTCTCTACTAAAAACACAAAAATTAGCCAGGTATGGTGGCAGGTGCCTGTAGTTCCAGCTACTTGGGAGGCTGAGGCAGGAGAATTGCTTAAACCTGGGAGGCAGAGGTTGCAGTGAGTGGAGATGGCCTCATTGCACTCTAGCCTTGGAGACAAGAGTGAAACTGTTTCAAAAAAAAAAAAGAAAAGAAAAATTACCTACACCCTCCACCTCTCTCTCCCCTATCAAGCTTCGACCATCTGACCCTTTTCTGAGTTTTCATATTTAGTTGTATTGTTCCCATGCTTATGCATATTATTAAATTTGTTAGCCTCTTCTCTTGTTGACCTGTCTTTTGTTATAAGCGTGTTGGCATGACTCTTACGATGGGGAAGAAAGGGATCATCCGCTTTCCACCCCTTCTTACGACACTACCTTTTCATTTTCTAACCCATTTGTAGGAGGTTACTGAAGCTTGCATTAATTTCTTCAACAGATATTTATCCAGACTAGTGTAATCCAGGTCCCGGGGAAACAGTGGTGAACAAGACACACATGCCTCATGAAACTCACGGAACTGAAAGGTGAATGGATTACTATCTCCACCCTTTTTTTGTTTTGTTTTTTTCTTTCATACCTAGTCCTGCAGATGCATCCTTAACTTCTGCTGTGTGGTATATGGGAACTGGATCTGCTCCTAAATAGGTATGTGACCTCTCTGAGCTTTATCTTCTCTTAAAAATTACAAGCATCTATAAATACATAATCTCAAATTAAAATCCTCATGTATATCCCCATTTTTAAAATGATAGAAACAAGTCTCAATGATTACCTTGAAAAGATCACAAGGAAAATGAAACAAGTACCTGTAAGACAGTTTCCTTGTTACTTTTACATACATGATAAATGATGGATCAGGGACTTCAACCTAGATCACAGTATCATCACCACACTGCCCTGCTTCTGTCATGGGAAAAAAACTTTCATACTTTCTTCATTCTTTCTCCACTTGAAGCCCGAGGAGGAATCCATGTGCAAATATTGAATACTTTTCATATATGAAACGCACAATACAAAGTTTTTAAAAACTGGTCTCTGTTGTCAAGAAACTTTTGAGCCATTCAGAAAGACAACACTTAAAAACAAACAAAAAACTGAGGGAAGTATGAAGTGACCAAATAATGTCATACAAAAATGATCTCATTTGATCCCCATTACCGCTCTTTAAAGGAAGTACTACTATTAATTCTGTTTTACAGAGAAGGTAGGTCTGTAGGCAGTAAGCAAGTCTCAAGATTACTCAAGCAGGAAAGGGCAAAACAGATTCAAATACAAGTTCCTGACTCCTGACTTTCTCTAGCTATATATTGCAGGGCAAACCCAGAAACACCAGTTCCCTAAGCAAATAATAGACCCCATTTGGCTAAGGAGGGCTGGATAAATATTGAGAAAGGGAGAAGATGAAGCCAAAAAGGTACACTAGGGCCTAATGTAGCTCATGGACTTCATTCTGCAGACTGTGGGGATACACTAAAGGTTTCTTAGTAAGGCAGAAAATTACTCCAGTCTTAACTTGAAAAGGTAGTTTCTCAACTTGGTAGAATCAGCCTGTAGAAAAAGTAGCTTTACACTTGGCTACGTGACTTGGACAAATTACTCTCTTTGGCCTCAACTCTCACGGCTAATTGAGAGGGGAATTCTATATTTGGACAATCGCGGTGATTAAAGGAGTGTATGAAAGGCGTATGAAGCTAGAGGGCGCAAGATAAACGCTCATTTTCCCGTTATGTAGGGAAAAAGAACGCGGGCTTTCTGTTTACATAGAGTAGGCGGGCACTCGTTATCCAGCAAGGCCAGAACGGAAGACCTTCTCAGCTTCAGCTGCAAGCACACCTGGTATGCGGAAACCTCCTAAGATCCCAGCGTTTCCAGAGAGATGCTTCATTTCTCCTCACTTCTCCGGACCTGCCGCTGGACCACGAACACCTGACTGCCCTGTAGTAAAATCCCTAGCCAGCACTCCAGTTAGACGGTCCAGCCTTCCCAGCTCTTCCTTCCGAGGAGGCTACTCGATGATGTCACATCCGCTTCCGTTTCCGAAGGGGGCGTCTTTTCAGTCTTCGGGACCGCTCTAGGCTGCCACCGCGCCGGCTGGCTCCAAAACTCAATGGTTTCTGGGCGGGGTCGTGACGTCCTTGGCGTGGCGGCAGGGGAGGCCGCGGCGGGGAAAATGGCGGACGGGAAGGCGGGAGAGGAGAAGCCCGAAAAGTCGCAGCGAGCTGGAGCCGCCGGAGGTGAACACAACCCCAGCGTTGGGGGCGGCGTGGGATGCTCCGGGCCTTTCTTTGAGCTCCCCAGGGTGGGGGGAGTGGGGTAGAGGCGAGAATGGGCGGACCTGGACCTCACCCGGCCAGGTGCTGGGCCCAGACCTGCCCCGGGCACGCCCGGTGCGGCCCGCTGGGCTCCGGGCTCACATGGCTTCCTTGCCGGGGGAGAGCTGGCCACTGTTCATCACCTCCTGGCCCCAGCGGAGGCCCTGATTCCGAGGAGAAGGGAGATGGGCGCCAGAAAGGGAGACCGAACTTGGGGTGGGACCAGGAGCGGCGGTGCAGGAGCCGCTGCCGCCACACCGGAGACGTACATCACACAAAACACACACACCGGAGACGCTCATGAGACAAAACATACACACAGTGCGAGCCACTGAGTGCCGGCCGCGGGAACTGGCCGCAGGCCGAGTTTCTGACGGTGCCGGCCTCAGTTACACGCAGGAGTTAATTACGCTTGCTCCTCTCTTTTCCCCGAGGAGGCGGACAACCCCGGCCTGCTCTCTTTCCTTTACTTCCAAGTTTCATACTGACCCTGTGACAGGATGGGCCGAGGTGATGGAGGGGAGGAGGAATGCCCTTGCCTGCTCTCTGGTTTAAGTTGCCATTCTTTCAAGTATCTCCCTTAGGCTTTTGCCAGCTGACCGCTTGCCAGATACTTAGGTGGCTAAATAGTCTAGCTTGACCCTTCCTGTATTTCGTTACGATGTTAAACTCAGGTTACAGCTCTCCTTATTTTGTTCGTTCCCCTCCCTAAATTCGGGTCTTGTGAGTTGAGGGAAAGAAACATGTAATCTTTCCAGCTCGCTCTTTGCACATAACAAGACAAGTGAGTTAGCACGTGTGAGCTGTTTAAAATGTTTTCAGAACATTTTAAACATTATTCTCTATTCTGACCACCTCAATTATTATCCCTGAGATTATTTGACATGAGAAAATAAAGACGATTAATACCATATGAAGGCCACTAGTAGACCTCCTAATAGAATGTTTCATGTGAATTGCCTTGGGAACAAAAATTATTGGAAAGATTTAAGTGTAATGTTAGTTACTGGACCCAGGATTTCCTTTTTAAAAAGCATGTACAGTTCTGTTAGTTAAGCTGAAACTCCATCTCCCTCTCTTCCCTCCCCAAGCCTTTTTTTTTTTTTTTTTTAAGTGGTAAAATACCTTATGAGAGAACAATTTGAATTTAAACCATGTAGTACTTTATCACTAGGGGATTTTTTTTTTCCCTAAAAAATTGTCTTGGAAATTGTGGGGTAAAACTACATAAAAATTTAGAAGCAGTTTGCGGAAAAGCAAAAAAATATTTAGCAGTAGTTTGAGCAAAAGCCTAAAGAATCGTAGCTTTTGATTTTAAGGCCATCTTGTTAACTGTCTTGACTGAGGGTAGCAAACGTGTTTAATGTTCTGTTAAAATGTACCTTGAGTGTCAGCATAAATCCGCTGTAGGGATATTAGTTCTATAGTATGAATGAATATTGATGTTTCCATTTTACTATGTGGAGAGTAGTAGTATTAAATTACTTTGCTAATTGGGATCAGAAAAATTATTGTCTTTTTCTTGGTCACTTAGAGTAAGTAATATCCCTCCCTTAACTTACCATTTGTCTCCTTACCATTACAGGAAAGTAGTGCTATTAACATTTAAGCCATTTTTGAATGTCAGATATTTTTAATGAAATTGTGCAGAGGAATCATAGTTGAAATTTATGTCATACCATGGATATTGCTAAATTGGTAATTTTGTGGCAGTCACTTTTTTGAAAAACTGTCAAGTTTGTCCTGGGGCTTACCTAGAGAATGTTCTGAATTTTAATTTCTGTCTAGCAGTCTACTAAGTCGTAGGTATATTTTTTATGAGTAGTTTCCATAGTTAATATTAATTTTTAATTTTTTGGGGGGGAGGTTTTGGGTTTTTTTGAGACAGAGTCTCACTCTGTTGCCAGGCCGGAGTGCAGTGGCTTGATCTCGGCCCACTGGAACCTCGCCCCCTGGTTCAAATGTTTCTCTTGCCTCAGCCTCCCGAGTAGCTGGGACTACAGGCGTGCACCATCATCCCCAGCTATCTTTTGTATTTTTAGTGGAAATGGGGTTTCACCATGTTGGCCAGGATGGTCTCGATTTCTTGACCTCATAATCCGCCTACCTCGGCCTCCCAAAGTGCTGGGATTACAGGCATGAACCACTGTACCCGGCCAGCATTAATTTATGTCTATGAGAGAAGCTACTTATTTGAACTAACTGTTTTAAAGAATAGGGTAAAACTTTGGTAGTTTCTTTTCTCCTCTCTTTGGTTAAATCTTTGTAGCTCTTTGAAATAAGGAGAAATTGAGACGAGCTAGTCATACATAATCATGGCCATCTCAGGCTTTTTTGTTTATATCAAGAACTGCATCAATTAAATTGACATGTATTATGCCAGATACCAGTAGGGTCTGAATCCATCATCATTTAGACTACATACCACTCTACATACTAGAGAAGTATCTCTGTGCCCTTCTTTCAAAAAGGGAAGCAACGAGAATGCAAATGGGTTATGAACAATACTCTTATGGACTTAAACTTTCTTATTAGGTAATTTTTTTTTTTTTTTTTTTTGAGATGTAGTCTCACTCTGTTGCCCAGGCTGTAGTGTAGTGGCATGATCTCAGCTCACTGCAACCTCCACCTCCTGGGTTCAAGCGATTCTCCTGTTTCAGTCTCCCTTGTAGCTGGGATTACAGGCGCCTGCCACCATGCCCAGCTTAATTTTTGTATTTTAGTAGAGATGAGGTTTGGCCATGTTGCCCAGGCTGGTCTCGAACTCCTGACCTCAGGTGATCCACCCGCCTTAGGCTTCCAAAGTGCTGGGATTACAGATGTGAGCCACTGTGCACAGCTTATTAGGTAATTTTTTCAAAGTAAGTTACCTTTGTGCTCTAAGGCTCACCCCTCTCCAGCTACTCAGTGAAAAAAAAAAAAAATGCTAGAACCAAGTGTAATTTGATTTCATATTAATTATATGTTTTATTTGCTCACAGTACAAATTAGATAAAATTCCTTTTATTAAAATATTCCTTAATAAATAATCTAATAATTTGCTATTTAGTCCGTGTTTTATGTTCTAAGTTGGTAAGTGACTTTCTCATTTTTAGAAAAACTGATCTTGTATTTACTCATTCTTTAGTGTATAGATTGTTTCCACATGTAAAGCCAGCAGGTTTCCTGTATGTTTCTCTGTGTTGCAATGTGTAGAGCCAAAGAGTTTTTTATTTTAACTATGTCACTCACAGAAAAGTAGTTATTGCTTGGGCTTCACTATGAAATGTCATACTTGATTAGAACTACAAATAGAATACAGAATAAAATTAGCATAAATGCTTTTAGTTATAAACTGAGACTCTGAAAAAACTGCATCATACTCATTTATTTATTTATTTTAATTTTTTTAAGACACAGTTTCACCATGTTGGTCAGGCTGGTCTTGAACTCCCAACCTCAGGTGATCCGCCTGCCTTGGCCTCCAAAGTGCTTGGATTACAGGCGCGGGCCACCACACCCGGCCCCATACTCACTTTTAAAAGAAATTCTACACTTCGTAGAGTTCCATTTTTTAGCTGTTGAATAGCAATCTTGATTCTTTAATTCTTCAGGTGCTTTTGTAATTATATGTAAATAAGAGAATGGCACCTCAAGCAACCATTTCAGTGCTATCTTTGTCTCCTAGGGAAATCCCAAAATATAATCCTGCTTAATTTCCTCTATACTGTCAAACTTTTACTCCTTGTCCAAAGGGAATAAAGAGGTTTTTTTTTTAATTTTTCATCTAAACAAAATCAAATGTTTTGTTTGAAGTGCTTATTAACCTGGAGACCCCATCACTCCAAAACTGTATAGATCTGTATCTGTCACCTCTGATCTTTTAATCCTTTGCTTGTCAGTCTATTTGTGTTTTACTTTTTTTCTCCCCATTCTAGCTTTGTGTCCTGCTTTCTTAACTGTTATCAAGGCCGTCTCTTGGAGCATCTTCTTTTTCTCCATAAGTAAACTCTTGATCCAGTGTAGCAGAATACATTCTATATGGAGAACAGGCAAACTGGAGAAAGAAAAAAAATTTTTAGTGATCAGCCAGTCGTCTTCTGTCTTATCCCCCAATATAACAGACCCAAGAAAGTCACAATGTGAACTCATTTCATCATTGACATCATACAAACAGAAGCAAAATAGGAAGACATTTTATCTTCCAAACCTACATATGTATATGTTGTATGTTTGAAATTATGATTAGCTCATCTTTCATGAACAAGACTAACATAAACCAGAGTATGATATATTTTTTTTTAAAGCTCTTATGGGTAGGTTAAAACAGGTGATAACCAAGTTGTCAGAGTAGAATTAAATTTCTCAAGATGGAATGACCTTGAAGTTCCTTTTCAGCTCTTAAGATTGTGTGAGATGAACAGGAGGAAGACATCACTCAGGAAAATAACTAGGCTGTATTAACACTGTCATTTGGGTAGAAATGAGTCTGTTCATAACCAGGTACTTTGTATGATTATTACTACATTACTGAAGAGTATTAAAAATTTATTAGCCAAATGTATTATTTTACAATGTGACTATTTGTACACAAACCACTAAGTGTAAAAGATGTTAGATAGATCTGATTTCTAGAAAGCAAAATCCCACAAATAACAAGATTATTGTACAAATTGTGGTGTTTAGTTGAAGGGTCTTTACTCTTTGTGAACTCTTTGTTTATAATTTTACATTGCTCTGTATTTTATGCTAGTTAATTCATGGGAGCCTCTTCTACTGCCACACAATCTCAGTTCCTGCTGTATACTCTAACAAACAGTGGAAGAGACTGTTGGGTCAGTAGGTGACAACTGCAGAGGTATCTTCCTTATAACGATGCTTTTTGAGGTTGCTGCTCCCATCAATCTGCTCAGTAAAAATAGCTCATCTTGGTAAGTTGTTTCGACTTCACCAGGACCTGAAGAAGAAGCAGAAAAACCTGTGAAAACTAAGACTGTTTCTTCCAGTAATGGAGGGGAAAGTTCCAGTCGCAGCGCTGAGAAGCGATCAGCTGAAGAAGAAGCTGCAGACCTCCCAACAAAGCCTACAAAGATCTCCAAGTTTGGATTTGCCATAGGTAGTCAGACGACAAAGAAAGCATCAGCCATATCCATCAAACTTGGATCAAGTGTGAGTTGTTGTTTCATATATGATGTTTGTAATGGGTCTTAAGAATTTGTTTTGGAAACCTGGCATTTATTAGGTTATGGTAAATTAAGGGTGAAAAGGCACATTGTTTGAGAAGTAATCTTTGGTCTGTGAACTTAGATGATTAGCACCCTGTTCAAGAAGGGTCTAGATGAATTTTATCTCAGTAAAGCTGTTAAGAAAGAAAGATTTGGAATATTAGAAGGAACAACTAGTATAGAGAATATATGATTTATAAAATGATAACTTAGAATTGTTCTAAGTTGGCTGGGCACAGTGGCTCACACCTGTAATATGAAAACTCTGGGAGGCTGAAGTGGGAGGACCAGTTGAGCCCAGGAGTTTCAGACCAGCCTGGGCAACATGGCAAGATCTGTCTCTACAAAAAATAAAAATATTATTAAAAAAAAAATCTTTTTTCTGGGTTGAGCAAGTCCTCCAAAAAATATTTTGAGAAAGATTTTCCAAAGTTTATTTTTATGCTTCAGAGCCTATAATATTAAAAATAATATTGAGAAGTCAGTTATTTTTATCTTAAAAGATTAATATTAGTAAGGTATTGCTTGATAAGATCTACCTAATTATCTTACTTTGGAACCACAAGTGGGCATTAAATACTGTATATCTTATGTTGGTAATCCTTTACAGGTCAATATTTGATCCCTTGTTTTAAGGTGGAAGCCTTGAACTGATGCTTATTAACCATGGAACTTCTGGAAGAATTTGCAATATTAATTTAAAGCATAATAAGTTGTAGATATTTGTTTCTGACCTATAATATGAAAATTTCATAATCTTCAAATAGATCTCTTATTAGGGAAAAAGAAGTTACTCAAATAGTATGTTCCTATTGGCTTTGGAAAATGGTTACATTCTTGTGTGAGGAGAAAAATCCTAAAATTGCCTTTGAGTTGGTTATTTATATCTGTGCTGTGAAAGTTAATGCTCAGTTGTCTAATGTGCATAGCTTTATTCTACATTGGTTATTTATTCAAAGATCTTAAAAATACGGTCTGGAACAGAGTCAGTATATTTGGGCTATTCTCGTTTAAAAAAGCTATTGTTACTTAGACTCCCCACCCACACTCTGCTCTGTTTTCCATTTTTTTCAATTTCTACTTTTTAGAAAATTTAGTCTGAACAAAAAACATTATTATAACATCATTACTTCATTACTCTATTTCTGTATTTCAGCTGATTCTTTTTGTTTAATATGTAGTTATAAAACTTGTATAGACCTAACTGCATAAATATTTGGTGTTTTTTGATAGGCAGTATATTAAATATCTATTTTCATTTATACTTGTAGTATAGATGGTCCTCTTGAGAATAGATTTTACTGTGCATGGACATAGTCCCTAAATCTAAATTTCTGCTCTTTTTAAATTTATTTATTTATTTATTTTTAAGATGGGGTTTCACCATATTGGTCAGGCTGGTCTTGAACTCCTGACCTCAAGGTGATCTGCCCGCCTCAGCCTCCCAAAGTGCTGGGATTACAGGCGTGAGCCGCTGCGCCCGGCTTTAAATTTATTTTTATTTATTTATTTATTTATTTATTGGGGACAGAGTCTTACTATGTCACCTAGGCTGGAGTGCAGTGGCATGATCTTGGCTCACTGCAACCTCCGCCTCCTGGATTCAAGCGATTCCCCTGCCTCAGCCTCCTGAGTAGCTGGGATTACAGGCATGTGCCACCACGTCTGGCTAATTTTTATATTTTTAGTAGTGACAGGGTTTACCATGTTAACCAGGCTGGCCTCAAACTCCTGACTTCAGGTGATCTGCCCGCCTCAACCTCCCAAAGTGCTGGAATTATAAGCATGAGTCACCGAGTCCGTCCCCATTTTTTTTTTTTTTTTTAAAGAGTTTCACTCCTGTTGCTCCAGTCTACTCTTTCTAAATAATTGAAATGATTAGTAATTTCTGATAATTTTGGGTGGGAGGGTTATATTTGAAAAAAAACTACTCAGTAAAACTTTTTAGTTTTGGAAAACAAATCCGCTTTTATAAAATAAACTATAAGGCTGGGTGTGATGGCTCACACCGGTAATCCCAGCACTTTGGGAGGCTGAGGCGGGCAGATCACCTGAGATCAGTAGTTTGAGACCAGCCTGACCAACGTGGAGAAACCCTGTCTTTACTAAAAATACAAAATTAGCTGGGCTTGGTGGCATGTGCCTGTAGTCACAGTTACTTGGGAGGCTGAGGAAGGACAATCTGTTAAACCCAGGAGGCGGAGGTGGCAGTGAGCCGAGATTGTGCCAGTGCACTCCAACCTGGCAACAGAGTAAGATTCCACCTCAAAAATAAAATAAACTACAGTGTAAACACAGTCTTCTTGGGAGAGTGAGGTGTAGGATTTTTTAAAAAATTGAAATTGCTGGTTTGATTATATTATATGAAGATAGTTAATCAGCCAACAAATGCTTATTTGTATCCACAACATTAAATGCATGACATCTTTTAAAAATTAGGGTGTTTCTAAAGTTACTATGCATAATCTCTAACTGAACATGTTTTATTCCTTCAAAAGAAAACACCATTTATAAAAAATGTGTGGTATAGAAGAAGGGACGGTTAATTTTGTTTTAGCATGTCATAGAAGATTTTACTGATGAAGTGATCTTTGAGTTGGGCTTAAATGTAGACAGGAGCAAAAGTGCATTTCATGCAAATGCACTTAAGATGTGAAGCCATGGCTGGGCATGGTGGCTCACGCTGGCCGGGAGTGGTGGCTCACACCTGTAATCCCGGCACTTTGGGAGGCCGAGGCAGGTGGATTACGTGAGGTCAGGAGTTCGAGAACAGCCTGACCAGCATGGTGAAACCCTGTCTAAAAAAAAAAAAAAATTGAAGCCATATGGTACATTGAGAAAATCATTAGTATTTAGACAGTGTTTGGTGGGAAAATGTAGGGATATATAGCCCCTAAAATTAGACCTTGAGACTGACCTTTAAGGGCTTACATTGCATAATATAATCTGGTTTCACTATTGAGCTGTAAGGGAGCCATAGAACCATTAGAAAGACTCAAGACTTACACAGATTTGCATCTTAGAAGCATCGCTGTGGTACCATATAGGGGCTTGGTGAGAAGAGAATGCAGAAAGTGGGGAGGCTAGGTGCAGTGGCTCATGCCTATGATTCTAGCACTTTGGGAGGCTGAGACAGGATTGCTTGAGCTCAGGAGTCAGACCAACCTGGGCAACATAATGAGTCCTCTTCTCTACAAAAAATAAACCAGGCTGGGCACAGTGGCTTAGGCCTATAATCCTAGCACTTTGGGAGGCCAAGGTGACAGAGCAAGACTCTGTGTCAAAAATAATAAAATTAGCCAGACATGGCAGCATGTGCTATAATGCCACCTACTTGAGAGGGTGAGGTGGGAGGATCCCAGGAGGTCGAGGCTGCAGTGAGATAAGATTGCACCACTGTACTGTATCCTGGGTGACAGTGAGACCTTGTCTCAAAAAAGAAAGAAAGATCAGGAGATGCTATCTTTTTAAAATCTCCCTCCCTCCTTCCTTCCCTTCCTTCCCTCTTTTGTTAATATCTTTTCCTTCCTTCCTCCTTCCCTCCCTCTCTCCCTCCCTCTCACTCTGTCGCCCAGGCCAGAGTACAACCTCCACCTCCCGTGTTCAACAAATTCTCCTGCCTCAGCCTCCCAAGTAGCTGGGATTACAAGCGTGTACCACCATATGCAGCTAATTTTTATTTTTATTTTTTTTGTATTTTTAGTAGAGACGTGTTTTCTCCATGTTGGCCAGGCTGATCTCAAACTCCTGACCTCAAGTGATCCAGCTGCCTCAGCCTCCCAAAGTGCTGGGATAACAGGCATGAGCATTTCTTTCTTTTTTTTGGAGATGGAGTTTTGCTCTTGTTGCCCAGGCTGGAGTGCAATGGCGTGATCTTGGCTCACCGCAACCTCCGCCTCCTGGGTTCAGGCAATTCTCCTGCTTCAACCTCCTGAGTAGCTGGGATTACAGGCATGCGCTACCATGCCCAGCTAATTTTTGTATTTTTAGTAGAGACGGGGTTTCACCATGTTGACCAGGATGGTCTCGATCTCTTGACTTTGTGATCTACCCGCCTTGGCCTCCCAAAGTGCTAGGATTACAGGCGTGAGCCACCACGCCCAACCCTATGAGCATTTCTAATAGCAGTCCAGACAAATAATGCTAAGGACCTTAGGTTGTTAGTGTGGTAGCATGATTGAAAGGCAGAGGGAGGCCTCCGCGGTGGCTCACACCTATAATCCCAGCACTTTGGGAGGCCAAGGCGGGTGGATCACGAGGTCAAGAGATCAAGACCATGCTGGTCAAGAGATCAAGACCATGCTGGTCAACAAGGTGAAACCCCGTCTCTACTAAAAATACAAAAAAAATTAAAAAAAATTAGCTGGGCATGGTGTTGCGTGCCTGTAGTCCCAGCTACTCAGGAGGCTGAGGCAGGAGAATTGCTTGAACCCAGGAGGCGGAGGTTGCGGTGAGCCGAGATCGTGCCATTGCGCTCCAGTCTCAGTAACAACAGCGAAACTCCGTCTCAAAAAAAAAAAAAAAAAAAAGAAAGGCAGAGGGAGAATTAAGTTTACTTAATAGCTGTCTAATCAGTAGGACCTTACAAGTTGAGGAAAAGATTTTCTGGTTTGAGTACTTAACGAACACTGAAACTAAAGTACTTAAGGGAGCTCTTAAGTAGAACTACCCAGTAGGCAGATGATAGCCTGTTTCGGGGTAGACATAGGATTTGGTAGTTAAAACTGCGGGAATGAATGAAATTGACCAGAGAAGGAAAGGTCACTGATGACAAAATTCTGAGTGTTTGCTAATTTAAAAAAAATTTTTTTTAGAGATGGGGACTTGCTATGTTGACCAGGCTGGCCTGGAACCCCTGGCCTCTAGTAGTCCTCCTGCTTAGCTTCTCAAAGTTGAGATCGCAGGAGTGAACCAGTGTGCCCGCCTGGGTATTTATATCTTCTAAATAGGGAGCAGCAGGAAAGAGGGAGACAGAACAAAAGGTGGGAGAATAGGAGAATACCCATTAAAAAGCACTGTTACAGAAGCCAAGGAAGGGGTGTTTTGTTTCATTTTTATTTATTTTTTTTGAGATAGAGTTTCACTCGTTGCCCAGGATGGAGTGCAATGGTGTGATCTTGGCTCACTGCCACCTCCGTCTCCTGGGTTCAAGCGATTCTCCTGCCTCAGCCTCGAAGTAGCTGGGATTACAAGCATGCACCACCATGCCTGGCTAATTTTGTATTTTTAGTAAAGATAGGGTTTCACCATGTCGGTCAGGCTGGTCTCGAACTCCTGACCTCAGATGATCCTCCTGCCTTAGCCTCCCAAAGTGCTGTGATTAGAGGTGTGAGCCACCACTCCCAGCCTATTTATTTATTTATTTTTGAGATAGAGTGTTACTCTGTCACCCAGGCTGTAATGCAGTGGCTCAGTCTCACCTCACTGCAACCTTTGCCCCCTAGGTTCAAGCCCTGCTCCTGCCCCAGCCTCCCAAGTAGTTGGAATTACAGGCGCTCGCCACCACACCCGGTTAATTTTTTTTAATTTTTAATAGGGAGCACCTTGGGAGGCTGAGGCCAGTAGATCACTTGAGGTCAGGAGTTCAAGACTAGCCTGGCCAACATGGCAAAACCTCATCTCTACTAAATAAACAAAAAAAAATTCCTGGGCATGGTGGCACACACCTGCTACTCAGCTGATCGTAGCTGCTCAGGGGACTGAGGCATGAAAATTGTTTGAACTCAGGAGGCATAGGCTGCAATGAGCCAAGATTGTGCCACTGCACTCCAGCCTGGGCGACAAAGAAAGACTTAGTCTCAAAAACCAAAAAAACACAGGTTAGATGGTGAGAAGAGATTGTTTAGATTAGTTATATTTATAGGCCTAAGGGCAGAAAGTTAGCTAGTACAGAAAGATGATTCATGATGCCTTTTATGTTTTCAAGGCAGATTGTATTTAATGTTACTATAGGAAGGTATTACTAATAATTTTCTCTTGACTATGCCACGTACCCCTTAGGTAAGTGATATTATAGATCCTAACTAGAAAAAAAATTTTTGAGGCGGAGTTTCGCTCTTGTTGCCCAAGCCGGAGTACAATGGTGCGATCTCAGCTCACCGCAACCTCCGCTTCCCAGGTTCAAGCGATTCTTCTGCCTCAGCCTCTCAGGTAGCTGGGATTACAGGCATACGCCACTACGCCCAGCTAATTTTTGTATTTTTAGTAGAGACAACATGTCACCATGTTGGTCAGTCTGGTCTTTAACTCCTGTCCTCGGGTGATTCGCCTACCTCGGCCTCTCAAAGTGCTGGGATTACATGAGCAAGCCACTGCGCCCGGCCTTAGAAAATCTTTTATAGGAGGGCAACAAATGGACACCACAAATTAGTAAAGTAAAACATGCCCACTGATAATCCACATTTTTGAAAAGAGAGAATGGATTTGTCCAAAGTATTAGGTTTGTTACCATACAAATTTCTATGAAAATATGAAGTTAAATCTTTCAAGATAAATATTTCATATCATTAAATAAATTTGCATAAATGTTACTTACATGATATTCTTTTTAATATGTTTCTTCTTCAGAAGCCTAAAGAAACTGTTCCAACTCTTGCTCCTAAAACACTTTCAGTAGCAGCAGCTTTTAATGAAGATGAAGATGTAAGTTGTTGCCCAGTTTTGTTTTTTGTTTTTTTTTTTACTTTAACCAGTTCTTTAAGGAAGGTACTAGAGACATATAATAGGTTATAGTAATAATATTCGTGAATTTTCTTTACAGGGGTGTGTGTGTGTGTGTGTGTGTGTGTGTGTGTGTGTCATCTAAAAAAGCTAGATGTTCTGTTTTTGCATTTTATTTGGTTTGGGGATTATTTTAGCATATTATTGACTTGGGGGCAAGAAGCTTAAGAATGAAATCAGTAATTGCTTATTATAAATAATTTGTGCTGGGAAGTATGTAGGATCCAAAAAAAGAAAAATTCAACACTGTTGCCCTAATTTTTATATCTGGAGTCTTCAGTAATGACACATTATGCTTGCATTCAACTTCAAAAAGCCAACTGTTGGCTGGACGCAGTGGCTCACACCTGTAATTCTAGCACTTTGGGGGGCTGAGGTGGATGGATCACTTGAGATCAGGAGTTCGAGATGAGCCTGGCCAATATGGTGAAACCCCATCTCTACAAAAAATAGAAAAGTTAGCTAGCCATGGTGGCACGTGCCTGTAATCCCAGCTACTTGGGAGGCTGAGGTAGGAGAATTAATTGAACCCAGGAGGCGGAGGTTGCAGTGAGCCAAGGACCAAGATTATGCCATTGCACTCCAGCCTGGGTAACAGTGAGACTGTCTCAAAAAAAAAAAAAATGTCAAGTATTGTGCTCACTTCCCATATCCCTAGGAGGGATAACAATTAAATAATGCAGGTGATTCTGCCAGAAATTCTACTCAAAAAGCATGTAAGTCCGGAATGAACATGAGATGCCTGAGTCTCTTAGTCCCAATTTCCTCATGCCCCTCACAATGTCCCTATCTTCCCATTCTTATGAATGACCTATAGAAGTTTCAAGCGTAATTCTCACTGATGGTTTTGTGTTAGACTCTGACATTAAAACCTAACCCCCCACTCATGACTGGACCCCATTGTGTAGCAATTAAGTATCTCAGGATACATCAGTAGTTTTTCCTAAAAATGTGTGTGTGTCAGAGAGAGAGAGCAAGAGAGGGAGTATTTTTGTTTTTGTTTTTTGTTTTTTTGTTTGTTTGTTTTTTGCTTCAGAGAGGGTCTTGCTTTGTTGTCCAGGCCGGAGTGGGGTAGCATAATCACAGCTTGACTTCTCAGGCTTAGGTGATCCTCCCACCTCAGCCTTCCATGTAGCTGGACCACAGGCTTGCCCCACCATGATCGGCTAATGTTTGTATTTTTTGTAGAGACAGGGTTTCACCATGTTGCCCAGGCTGGTCTCAAACTCCTAGGTTCAAGTGATCCTCTGCCTTGGCCTCCCAAAATGCTGGGATTATAGGTCTGAGCCACCACATGACCATATGTTCTTATGTGGATAAGACTTAATATATTCAGAGGACCGGAGTGATTTGGGAAGAATATATATGAGGTAGGCACAAAAACATTAGGCAGGGTTTTAGTGAACCAAGGAATACTTTTGTAAGCCAAGCCATCAATTTTCAAGTCACAAGTAGTAAATACTGAGTAGCTGCATTTGACTGGACTGGAGAGATTTGTAGAGGAATTTTGAGCAAGGATAAATACAGAATGATTGGAGCCCAAATCAATAAGCAAAAAATGACTGTAGTCATTAGTGTATTCTCTCTTGGACTTCCACTCATTCTATCCATTTGAGTGCTTTCTGTATGTTAGCCACTATAATGTTATAAAGATAAATCAGAAATGTTTGCCTAGGAACTCAGTCTAGTAGGGCAGAGACTTAATGTAAAACGGTACAAGATAAAAATCTAAAGTACCTGAATAAATTACACTGTGGAAACTGAGAAAAGAAATATAAGCCAGCTACTAGATGCAGCAGCATGGCAAGACCACTAGTCTGGCAGTTGGAAGACTGGAATTAAGTTCGAGAAGCACTAACAGGCACCTGCCACCATGCCTGGCTAATTTTTTGTATTTATTTTTGGTAGAGATGGTTTAGTAGAGACGGTTTAACCATGTTGGCCAGGCTGGTTTCGAACTTCCTTGTGATCCTCCTGCCTCAGCTTCCCAAAGTGCTGGGATTACAGGCATGAACCACTGTGCCCAGCTGCATCTCTAATATTCTTAGAAAGTTAGGTACCATTTCATTCAACCCATTCAGATATGTACAGACTGTAGAAGGGAAAAACGATACAGGGTGCAGAGAACATGTACAGAAGTGCAGAGGTTGGAAATTGTAAGCACTTAACATTTCAGCTGTGGCTTACTTTGAATGCCTAACAATTTGGATATCTTCTCACTTTTTTTTTTTTTTTTTTTTAATAAGATGGGATTTCACCATGATGGCCAGGCTGGTCTTGAACTCTGGACCTCAGGTGATCCACCCACCTTGGCCTCCCAAAGTGCTAGGATTACAGGTGTGAGCCACTGCACCCGGACCCTTTTCACATTATTTTACCTTTAATTTGTATCTGTGAGTTGTGTGATATATTTATTCATATTTTGAAAACGGAGAGATATACCAAGTGCAGTGACTCACACCTGTAATCCCAGCGCTTTGGGAGGCCGAGGCAGGCAGATCACGAGGTCAGGAGATCAAGATCATCCTGGCTAACATGGTGAAACCCCATCTACTGAAAATACAAAAAAATTATCTGGGTGTGGTGGCACATGCATGTAATCCCAACTACTCAGGAGGCTGAGACATGAGAATCGCTTGAACCCAGGAGGTGGTGTTCGCAATGAACTGAGATTCCACCACTGCACTCCAGCCTGGGTGACAGAGCAAGACTCTGTCTTAAAAAAAAGGAAATAGAGAAATTAAGTATGCATGAGTACGTGCCAGTGCACACACATGTTGTCCTTTAGGTCTTCTGGTTTCTTGTTCTTTGCATCATACCCTACTGTCTTCCCTGCTTTTAATTTCTGTTGGGTTTAGGCAACATTCTTCCTGCTATAATAGTAATAAAGGGTAAATTGTCTGGTTGATTTAAAAAACACATGTATCTAAAATCTTTATCCAGTTCTTTTTTTGGGGAGGTAGGTGGGGAACATAATTAAGTAACCTTGGATATATATCTGAGTTTGAAATATGCTGAACAAAGAGGATATCCACTTACTTAATTTTGAAATGTTTAAATATTTGTTCAGTTGTTGCATATTTTTAGTCTCCTTTAATTTGGACAATTCCTGAGTCTGTATGTTTCATGGTATTAACATTTTTGAAGAGTACAAGCTGGTTATTTTATATAAACCTTCTCAATTTGGATTTGTCTGACATTTTCTCACGATTAGTTTCACGTTTCTTACTTTTGGCACGAATACCACAGAAGCGATGCCAAGTTATCAGTGCATCATATCAGGGAGCACATGCTGTCAGTATGCCCCATCACTAACAGTGTTAACTTCGATCATTTGGTTAAAGTGGTGCCGGCCAGATTTCTTCATTGCCAAATTACTATTCTACCTTTTGTGATTAAAATTTATTTTGTGGGGATAGGCTTGGAGAATATGTAAAAATAATATGATCGAGGACATTTACTCACTAGTGTTAACATCCATTGATAATTCTCATCGGAATTATCATGATAAAGTTTGCCCAATGATTATTTTTCTAATTCCATCATCCCTTCTACATCTGTTAACTGTCTCTTACTGTAAGGAAGAGCTTCTTCTTATTACACTTAAATTTTATTTAAGTGTATACTCACGGAATCTTATTCAGTAGGTTATTATAAATGCTCAAATTGTCACAGATGTAACCAGTAGAAGCCCCTTTGAGCTGGAGCAGCACCCTTTTAAAAAGCCGTGTTTAGCTAAGCAGCAGCATTTATACATAAAAACTTATATCTGAAAAGATCTTTTCCCACAATTTTCAACAGCTATAAGTATAGAAAAAGAAGGAATGAGCGCGCGCGCTCTCTCTCTCTCTCTCTCTCTCTCTCTCTCTCTCTCTCTGTGTTTTTATTTTTTTTGGAGACAGAGTTTTGCTCTTGTCGCTCAGGCTGGAGTGCAGTGGCACGATCTTGGCTCACTGCTACCTTTGCCTCCTGGGTTCAAGCGATTCTCCTGCGTCAGCCTCCTGAGTAGCTGGGATTACAGGCACATGCTGCCACGCCCAGCTAATTTTTTGTATCTTTAGTAGAGACTGGGTTTCACCATGTTGGCCATGTTGGCCTCAAACTCCTGACCGCAGGTGATACACGCGCCTCAGCCTTCCAAAGTGCTGGGATTACCGATATGAGCCACCGTGCCCAGCCAGGAATGAGCTTTCAGATGTCTTTATAGTAATAGATACTTTTAAGAGTAGCACTTTAAAAGTGGTTGGCCAGGCGCGGTGGCTCACGCCTATAAAATCCCAGCACTTTGGGAGGCTGAGGCGGGTGTATCACCTGCGGTCAGGAGTTTGAGGCCAACATGGCCAACATGGTGAAACCCAGTCTCTACTAAAGATACAAAAAATTAGCTGGGCGTGGCAGCACGTGCCTGTAATCCCAGCTACTCAGGAGGCTGACGCAGGAGAATTGCTTGAACCCAGGAGACGGAGGTTGCACCGAGATCGTGCCATTGTGCTCCAGCCTGGGTAACAAGAGCGAAACTCTGTCTCAAAAAAAAAAAAAAAAGTGGTTAAGAACCTTTGTTTTGGTACCAAACTCTTTTGCTATTTATTCGCTTTGTTTCTTTGGGCAAGTTAACTTTGTTACCTCACCTGCAAAATATGAATGATGATAATCATGCCTCCCTCATACGATTATGTTAGCATTTTTTGAGAGATAGGACATATAAAAACATTTAACACAATGTGTAGCATATTATAGCTAAATGGTTTTAGTTATAGAATGCTTGTTTTTCACCAGTTTTTTTTTCTTTATGGAAAATCGGCACCCTAGAAGGCAAGCATTTATTTTTTAAATGTAGTTAAGGTAAATAACTCACTGATTTTCTCCTTGTATGAAAATTTGCAGTAGTGAAAATGCTAAAAGACTTAGATATAAAATTTAGCAATCAAGAATTTAATAAATTTGTATGCAGTTATCTTGGTTTACTTACTTTTTTTCTTTAGAGTGAACCAGAAGAAATGCCTCCAGAAGCAAAGATGAGGATGAAGAATATTGGAAGGTATTATAATTTTTCGTAAATATTGTAGAAAGTTACAAAGGTGAATTAAGAACAAGAATAACTTGCACATGATTTCTTAGTGTTCTGGCTTTTCTTTTTTTTGTTTATATTTTTTTATTTTATTTTTTCTTTTTTTGTCAAGCATTAACTTAAAGGGGTGTGCAGGCTTTTCTTGTGCATTTGGGCAGAACAGTTTTTAAAAACATTTTCTGTGTACTAGATGATTAATTAGGATTTTGAAGATGAGTAAGACATGGATCAGGCCTCATGAAGAAAGACAACTGTAATTATTCTGTTAACTATCGGTGATTTTATTTAGTCTCCCAGTTAGAGAAATGAGTATCTTAAGACATATCAATAATTTAAGATTGCTTCTTGACAGGGTCTTATTCTGTTGCCCAGGCTGGATTGCTGTGGCACAATCCCAGCTCACTGCAGCCTCGATCTCCCACCTCAAGCTATCTTCCCACCTGGCCTCTCAAGTAGCTGGGATCACAGGTGTATGCCACCACACCTCGCTGATTTTTTATTTTTATTTTTAGTAGAGATGAGGTTTCATTGTGTTACTCAGGCTGATCTCTTAATTCCTGAGTTCAAGTGATCTGCCCACCTCAGCCTCCCAAAGTGCTGGGATTACAGGTGTAAGCCACCGCACTCAGCCTGTTTTTTCAAATAAGAAATAGCTATGAGAAATGTTTCCGATTTCAAAATTTTCCCAGTATAAAACAAATGGCTTTCAGTCACTTTGCTTTTTTAAAACACTTTTAAGTAGGGATAGGATCTTGCTATGTTGCCCAGGCTGGTCTCAAACTTCTGGCCTCAAGCAGTCCTGCCTCAGCCTCCCAAAGTGCAGGGAGTATAGGTGTGAGCCACCATGCCCAGCCTCTTCACTTATGATATCATTTCTACCACTTTTTCTTACGTTTCTTTTTTTCTTTAATGACTTAGATGCCAAATACCAAAATAAAACAAATGAAACTATTTAAATTTTTTCCATTGTTGCCGTTGTCATGGAGATAACATTAATTTTAGGTTAACATGATGTTCAGTTTCCTGTCTTTGTGCATTAGTGGGTAGCCTAGAGACTAGCAAGAAAGTTTAACTCTACATCAACTCATACTGTGTCCCCACTGCTTCCAAATGTATGAACCCACAAAGAACTGAGTGCTAAATCTTTTTCCTTTTCCACTTTAACTACCAGTATGATAATGCCAAGTGCTAAATCTATACACATGCGTAAGTCTTCAGACTTTCAGTGTGTGATTCAAGTGGAGACAGTCCCGGTGGCTGCCTGCATGCCTGCCTTTCATGCTGTGCCTAAAGTAGGAAGTACAACTGACATTGATGTCCCACCTAAATATGCAGCACATATATTAACATATTTAAACATAAATAATTGAAGCAGAAGTTCATAAAATGACAGTGAACCTTTTTTTTTTTTTTTTTTTTTTTTTTTTTTGAGATGGAGTCTCGCTCTGTCACCCAGGCTGGAGTGCAGTGGCGAAGTCTTGGCTCACTGCAACCTCCACCTCCTGGGTTCAAGCGATTCTCCTGCCTCAGCCTCCTGAGTAGCTGGGATTACAGGTGCAGCCCACCATTCCACCATGCCCAGCTAAGTTTTGTATTTTTAATAGAGACAGGGGTTTCACCATGTTGGTGATTTCAAACTCATGATTTCGTGATCCGCACACCTCGCCCTCCCAAAGTGCTGGAATTACAGGCGTGAGCCACCACGCCCGAAAGACACTGAACCTTTCCATGTGTAATATAGCTTCATTTTTTTCTTCTATTTTCTTTTTCACTCATGCTGGCAGCCAGCTATCACATTGATTCTATGAAGCTATTAATGGGTTACAGGCAACAGGTTTGTTGTTGTTTTCTTTTTTTTTTTTTTGAGACAGGGCCTAGTTCTGTCGCTCAGGCTGGAGTGCAGAGGTGTGATCATGGCTCACTGCAGCCTTGACCTCTTAGGTTTGGGCAGCCCTCCCACCTCAGCCTCTGAGCAGCTAGGACCACAGGCACACACCACCACACCTGGCTAATTTTTTAATTTTTTTTTTGTAGAGACAGGGTCTTACCCCTTGCTCCAGCTGGCAGTCAACAGTTTTAAAAACTGTAGTAGTTGCCACACTTAGCTGGGTATCAGAATTGCCTTAAATGTGTGTTAAAACCGCGGATTTATCCCCACCCTCAATTTAGGCCTGTTGGAGCTGAAATTCTAGAACTGTGTCTGAAGTTTTTTTTTTTTGTTTTTGTTTTGTTTTGTTTTGAGATGGAGTCTTGCTCTGTCACTCAGGCTGGAGTGCAGTGGCACAATCTGGGCTCACTGCAACGTCTGCCTCCCAGGTTCAAGTAATTGTCATGCCTCAGCCTCCCAAGTAGCTGGACTACAGACACATGTCACCCATGCCCAGCTAATTTTTGTATTTTTAGTAGAGATGGGGTTTCGCTATGTTGGCCGGGCTGGTTTCAAACTCCTGACCTCAGATGATCCACCTGCCTCTGCCTCCCAGAGTGCTAAGATTACAGGCGTGAGCCACCATGCCCAGCCTCTGAAGTGTGTTTTTAAAAAGCTCCGTAGAGCTTCCCGTGTGCAGTCTGTATTTATAATAGGTGCTACACAAGCATGTAAATGAGTGAAAATCATAACCTGAAAGGCCTCATGTAACATTTTAAATACATTTTCTGTCTTTTAACGCAGGGATACACCAACATCAGCTGGACCAAACTCTTTCAATAAAGGAAAGCATGGGTTTTCTGATAACCAGAAGCTATGGGAGCGAAATATAAAATCTCATCTTGGAAATGTCCATGACCAAGACAATTAAATGATGTTTTGAAATTGGGGCGTGGGGTGGGTGTAAAGTTAAAAGGAACAGTTTCCTTTTTTAAAGAATGGTATAAGACTATCTTTGGAGCCGCTTTTTTTTTCTTTTTCATTTTTTTAAAAGATTGAGTGGTACACTAATAAATGAGAGTTTGAAATTAGAGGTAATTTATGTTTTATATACGGATTTCAAGACATTTGCTAATTTTGTAGTTTCATGTGATTAGTTTCCAAAGGCTACAGATAATAAAGAAATCAGAAATGGTACCTTTTTAAGAATTGCATATTTTTTTAGACACAACTATTAGCACATTAAGAGGGAAGCAAAAAGTTATTGTCTATTTAAAACTGCAAGCAGTTACCCTCAACTCCCTTATTACGTAAACTTGTCTGGCTCCCAGGAACAGCCTTATAGAGAGAGGGAGTATTGTATTGGGAGGAAAATGTTAATGAACTATTGACTGAAAGTAAATTTAGATCAAATTGAAATACAGCTTTTTTCCTTATGGGCATTTGTTTTGTTTCAAGTCATCATAAACTAGGTATTGCATTGCTGTCAGTGGATACAGACGCTTAGCTCTTAAAAGAATTTTTTTTTAATGTAAACTGTTGAATGAACTAGCCCACTTCACCTTAATGGGTCTTGTCTATCTTCATAGTCTTCAAAAAAAAAACCCATTTGCTACCAAAGTAAATCAGTATTTTGAATGTGCTTCTCTTGTTTTTTGTTTATTAGCTAGTTCCTGTAAGCATTTCCACCAGAACTTGAGGCAAATCATAAGGAAGCTGTTTCTTTTAAAATACAAACCACCACCAAAAACTTAAATGTACATATTGCTTAAGTATTTGGCTGTTTTTATTTTTTAAAGGGTATCAACACCAAAAAAAAAAAAAAAAAAAAAAATTAACATTGTATGAAGATGGAAAACAAGAAGATGCACTTTCTGTTACTTTGTCTAAGGATTTAAATTACTGACTTGTGACATCCAATTTGAAATGAACTTAACTACCGGCTTTCTTACTAGTAAAGTTATATTGTTTATTTTAAATGTATACATATTGACCAATGGCCTCTCAAAAAGCACATTTTAGATACTGAAATAGAAAGAAAGAAAATGCATCTTCAAACATTTTTTGGAATCTCACCACATATACTTTGTTAGATTTGTGTATTGTAGGGTGTTTGTTTTTGTATTTTTGTATTGTATATGAACTTTTTTTTAATGTGACAGTTAAACATCTTTAAAAGCATAGTCACAGACAAAAGAAACATACAGTATAAAAATTTTTTTGAAAACTCCTACAATATTGTATTTGGAGGCAGCTTCAGACTGTTTTATTGGTGGTAACTGCTCGCCGAGCTCTTTCACTTGGTAATAACTTCAGAAAAGAAGGCTGTGTATATTCCTAACACTTTGTTCACTAGCATTTAAGTTTAGAATAAGCCCCAAGTAAAACAATGGAAATGTATATAGAACTCTTAGTTCTGACATGATTTAATTATATCAAGATACATGAATTTAACTTACTTTAATGTAGGCAGACTCTGTTTTTGTCCATTTTCCTGTTTGTTAAAATAACATACCTCTCCTACATATTCTTTTCTTGACCCAAATGAAATATTAACCTAAGGTCAAGCTGGGAGAGAGAAACGACTGAGATGAATGTCTTTACTAAAATACCAATAAATTTGTCAAGCTCAATAATGTGTTTGTTTTCTATTCCATTTAATAATTGCTTACTGGTTTTTGTTCTTGAAGTTGAGACAAATGTTGAGTGTTGCTCTTGTTCATATTGTTGACCAAAGTAACGGGGGATTTAAAATTTTGAGTTACTAGCGTCTCCCTAGCTCAGCACCTAGCTCTACAGCATTAGAGAATGTCAGACTGAAAAAGATGTAAACCTCCTCCAATGCCAAAGGATTGTCTGTCCTGTGCTTTAGAAAATCTTGCCAAAGCCTTTCTTTGACAATCGCTAAGTATTAGAAGTTTTTTTTGTTTTTGTTTTGAGACAGAGTCACACTCCGTTGGGCAGGCTGGAGTGCAGTGGTGCGATCTTGGGGCACTGCAGCCTCCACTTTCTGGGTTTAAGCAATGTGTCAGCCTCCTGAGTAGCTGGGACTACAGGCGCATGCCACCACACCCGGCCAATTTTTGTATTTTTAGTAGTGATGGGGTTTCGTCATATTGCTCAGGGTAGTCTTGAACTCCTGACCACAGGTGATCCACCCACCTCAGCCTCCCAAAGTGCTGGAATTACAGGCGTGAGCCACCGCATCTGGCCTGGAAGCTGTTTTTTTACCTTTGCCTTCTGTCTACTAACCCTACCTAAGGATTTAAGACCATAAAGAAAAAGTAATCTTAATTACTTCAAATACTTGAAGATTCTTTCTACCCTATGCTTCTGTCTCTTCCTCTGGGCTTAAATATCACCACTTGATAATTTATTGATATTTTTAAACTCAGTTTGCCTTCTTTGCATTCTCTGCGTTGTCAACACGTAGATGTCCAAACTTCATTTCTTTGGTTATCATGAATTTTTAAGACAACATAATGGTTTTCTTTCATTTTGTATCACTTCTTTGCTAACCATTCCCTCCCACGCGGTTGGTGCAGCTTTTTCCTTTAGCTTTCTCTACTTGACAAGAGTTTGTCAGATATTTCCCTTTTAGAATATATTTTAATGTTTTTGTTTTTTTTCTTTTGGAGACTCAGTAGCTCTGTCACCCAGGCTGAAGTACAATGGTGCAATCTCGGCTCAGTGGACCCTCCATCTCCCAGCTCAAGCAACCTCTAGCCTCAGCCTCTTGAGCAGCTGGGACTACGGGTGCGTGCCACCACACCTGGCTGATTTTGTGTTTTTTTGTAGAGATAGGCTTTCACCATGTTGCTCAGGCTATTCTCAAAACTCCTGGGCTCAAGCAATCTGCCCACCTCGATCTCCCAAAGTGCAGGGATTATAGGCACGAGCCACCCGCACTTCGCTAGAATATACAGTGCTGCTGCTTACCAGGTCAGGTCCTCGTAAATGGAAAAGTTGAACTACGTCGTAGAATTAAGATTCATTTCTAGTTTGACTAATAAATGAAGACTATGAGTTTCAAGGTTTTTTCTAAGTTTTTTTAGGTTTTGTTTTAGAGATGCTGTCAAGTTTTTTTTCTTACATCAAGATTGCCTGACATACTATGAAGGGATTGCTCATGACAGTTGCATTTCTTCCGGAGGAACTTCCCTTAGTCAGATAAGGAAACTTCAAAGAAAGCCCCTTCCTGGACTTAGGGAAGTGAAGAGGAGGAAGGACAGGGGAGCTGGAGAAGGTAAAAGCGATCTTGGTTTTCCATTAGTTCAAAGCACTCAGCACACCAAAAGCACCGCATTATTTTCTTTCTTTTCTTTTTTTTTTCTTTCTCTTTTTTTTTCTTTCTTTCCCTTGTCTTTTTTCTTTCTTTTCTCATTTCTTTTCTTTTCTTTCAAAATGAAGTCTCTGTCATCCAAGCTGGAGTGCAGTGGCATGATTTCAGCTCACTGCAACCTCCGCCTCCCAGGTTCAAGTGATTCTCCTGCCTCAGTCTCCTGAGTAGTTGGAACTACAAGCCTACGCCACCACACCCAGCTAATTATTTTTATTTTTAGTAGAGACAGGGTTTCGCCATGTTGGCCAGGCTGGTATTGAATACCTGACCTCAGGTGGTCCACCCGTCCTGGCCTCCCAAAGTGCTGGGATTACAGGCTGGAGCCACCACAACCAGCCTTATTTTCTGACCTCCAACAATGCAACTCACGATTATGAGTTGTAACTAAAAATAAATCTTAAAAAATGTACACATGAAGACTATAAGACACCATAAGACAAATTAAAAATAACAAAAATAAGTGGGAAAATATATAATATTCACGTAACACTGTTAAAACATGCTCTGAAGGAAGAGACCCCCAAAACAGGCTTTGTGTGAGCAACATGTCTGTTTATTTACCCAGATGCGGGAAGGCTGAGTCTGGAGAGAGTCAGCGGAGGGCAGTGGGATAGGAGTTGGTTTTATAGGTTTGGGGTAGGCAGTGGAAAGTCACAGAAGTTACAGTTTAGGGCGGTTTTTACAAGCTGAGAGGGGGTCTTAGGGTCTGGAGTCACGAGGTTGACCAAGGTGAGTTGCAAAGTCCAATGGCCTTATCAGTTGACGCGGGAATAAGGAACAATGGAGAATGCTTCAAAGTTAATGAGGCGCTGCAGGGATCGATCATTCTTCCTCTTTTCATGGTCTTCCAGTTACTTCAGATTTTCTAGTTCCAGGAGGCCACCTGTGGTGTTCGTGCGGGTCACGGGGGTCTCCATGGGGCCTGACTTGGCGTGTGGCCTATGGTGCAGCCAGTTAGCCTAGAAGACCTTACATTCCTGTCTTTTTATATTAGTAATATAAAGGAAAAAGAAATGAAGAGTGGAGGGCAGTGGAATATTAGGAAGGCCGCACAGAGGGGTGATAGGGCAATGTTTTTCAGGGCTGCTTTGAGCGGGATTGGGGAAGGCATGGAAACCTAACAATGGGAAAGAATTTAGACTGCTGGGAGATCTCAGGGCAAGGGATGATATTGTGGGGTTGTTAGAAGGACCATTTGTCTTATTGACTGATCGGTTAGCACTTACATATAATTTTGCAGGAATTGAGAGATTAATCAGAAAACACAGGGTTCAAATAAGAGAAGGAGAAAGGTATCAGAGGACTAAGGATTGGAAGAAGCCATGACACCCTGCTAGCCAGTGTCCAGCCAGTCCAGCCAGCTCCAGAATAACCGTTTGCCTGATTAGTGAGCTTGTGGGCTCTGTCTTTTAATCTACTGATGGCATCAATAGATTAAAAGGCCAGACTGGTTTACATAAAAACAACATTCTTCAGGCCAGGTGCGGTGGCTCACGCCTGTAATCCCAGCACTTTGGAAGGCTGAGGCGGGTGGGTCACGAGGTCAAGAGATCGAAATCATCCTGGCCAACATGGTGAAACCCCATCTCTACTAAAAATACAAAAATTAGCTGGGTCTGGTGGCGCACCTGTAATCCCAGCTGCTCAGGAGGCTGAGGCAGGAGAATTGCTTCAGCAATTCTGGGAGACGGAGGTTGCAGTGAGCTGAGATCACGCCATTGCACTCCAGCCTGGCACCTGGCAACAGAGCAAGACTCTCTCTCAAAACAAAAACAAAAACAAATTCTTCATTTAGGAATAGGCAAAGGCCTCCTTTTTCAGCAGTCAGTAAATCCAGACCTCTGCGGGTTTGGAAGAGAAATGCAGCTAGGGAATTTACTTGAGCTTGAAGAAGGGATCGTGACTAATTCTGCAATGCTAGCAAAGAAATCATTAGAGAGGCTACAGAAAGTGATGATTGAAGTGATAGGGCCTGCTATCCCTGTGCCGAGTGCAGTAGTAATTCCTAACCCTACAAGTAAGGGGATCGATGGAATGACTTGCTTGTGTCGTGTCGGGACCGCAAGGGGAACGGGGGCTTCTGTCTGAATTTCAGGAGTAAGGAAAACTAGGGGTCAAGTGCCTCTCCAGTTGGTAGGAAGACAGATGTAAGAAGAAGAACCACACAGGACAAAAGTCTTTGGATTAGACAGAACTGGAAGTGTAAACTGAAAAGGTGAGAAAGTGTTCTAAGGGGGCTGGGGCTTTGGACCGAAATGCAAAGGAAACCGGCAAGGGCTGCGGCTGTTGAAAGTTGTAGCAGGGCTTGGTAGGGTAAGTGTGTGGAGGGAGAGCTCTGGTCTTCATGGTGTATGAGGAAGCGTGTGGTAACCACTCACTTTCATGAACAAGACTGGGTGTACGCAGACAGTAAGAGGGGTCTGGAGGAGGGTCTGATGAAGGGGAGGGCAGCCAGGGATGGAGTGAGAGACAGGGTGAACCACTACCTAGGCAAAGCTTGAAGTTTATTTGCCAATCTTGTGTAGGGGAGAATTCGCAGGCTGATATGTAGGAAAAAAGGGGGGTCTGAGAAAGCCCTCAGGAGTATTGGAGCAGCAGATGGAACACTGAGATGTGATTGTTTTGAGGATGGACTTCCATGGTGGAAGAGAAATCAGGGTTTTAAAAGACGAGCCGGGGGCTGGTATTCTGCACAGAAGCAGCCATCAAAGGATGAGAAGGTAGGGTGAGCTTGCGAGGCGGGGAGGAGGAGCATGGAAGGGAAGGCTGGCCTAACTGACACCAGACTTGGGCAGGTGTGAGAGGCCTGGGGGCCTTGCTGTCAATTCCCACAACAGTTACGGAGGCCAAGGAGACAGGTCCTTGGAAAGAAGGCAGCGTGGGGTGGGTGGCCCTGTGTTGATTAAGAAGGGAATGGACTTACAATCCACTGTCAGTTACCTGAAGCTCACAGTCTGTGACAGTCCAGGGGCCTTCCAAGATGTTTGGGCAGCATCAGTCTCCAGCCACCATGACAAGGAACAGCGATGTGAGTCGGACAGTCTGATTCTCAGTAGGGACCCCACGCAGACTGGGCAGGGCTTAGGAGGAATTGCAGGCTGTGGGCATTCCTTGGCCCAGTGGCCAGGTTTCTGACACTTGAAGCAAGGTCTGGGAGGGGCAGCTGGACGCTGCACTCTGGGCAATTTGAAGTCTTTGTGAGTGGGTGGTGTGGGGGGGTTTGTCTTACAACAGAGGAAGGCGGGGTTGATTAATTCCTATTGTGGATTGTGGGGTTTGAGGGCCAGATTT